TAGCCCAGGCTGGCCTCGAACTCACAGAGATCCGCCTGGCTCTGCCTCCCGAGTGCTGGGATTAAAGGCGTGCGCCACCACCGCCCGGCTTTCTTATAGTTTTTTTAAACCTATTTAATGTAATAAACTAAGTATAATGATAAACACTAATAATATAAAGTAGAAATGGCAGTGAAATAATATAACAGATACAATGTTTATGTGTTCATTTGGAAGATAAATACACTTTAATTTGGAAGTGCATCCATTCATTTAGACATTCATTCAGATATTTAAATATTTACCTCACAAAGATTTTCTAGAAATGCATATGGTTTAAATATAGAAAGAATTGCAATGTCCACAGTTGTTCAGTGAATAAAGAAAATGTGAATGGTTTGGCAACACATATTGATAACAATAGTAACTTCATAACTACATGTAACTTTTGAATTAAGACTCCTTTTTTATCAATATGCATTAGTAATGTACAGTTGAAAATCAAGCATTTACATATGTGCTTATAGTTAAATAGCATAGATGTTAATCAAATAGAAATATTTCAGTTAAATAGTGATATATCTATGATCTACTATTTCAGTATAAATGTTTATAAAAATGTACTGCATAAAAATGCTCATTTCAAAATTATGTTATGAAATCATGTTAATAGATTCCAAGTCTGTTGAAAGTATCAAACACAAAATTATAGATGAATTTCTAAATGGTCTTATTAAATAAAAAACACTGAGCCAAATATAGGGGTGAAAACCTTAGAGAAATCAGGGAAATAGGGAAAGCCACCAGCCAACCTTACCTCACCAACTCTGCAGCTTCGAAATGTGAGTTACTTCCTGTCTACCCACGCACATATGCCTTGCTGTTCTGCCATCTGATTTGCTCTCTGTCTAGCTACATCACTTTCTCTTCCTACACAGCTCTGTCACTTTCTGTCTGTCTGTACAGACTTCCAAACCTCCATGATTAACTAGTATTGGAATTAAGGTGTGTGCCGCCACACCTGGCTCTGTTTTCAATGTGGCCTTGAACACACAGAGATCCTGCCTGCTAAGTGATCGGATTAAGGGCATGTACTACCACTTCCTGACTTCTTTGTTTACTTATGATGGCTGGCCTTTTTCCTCTGATCTCATGGCAAGCTTTATTTATTAAAGCACAAATAAAATATCACCACACAAAAATCAATAGAAAAACATAAATAGATACAAAAGTTGAAACAATTACTTTTGGATAGTTATCTATAAGTAATTTAAAATTTAGTTCCTTTTGATTTCTCTATTATAATAGTTTTACAATAATTTTAAAAAGGTTGTGATTTTGTGTGTGACATAACAAATGTTATCTTACCTTTATAATATAATGCATACAAAATTAAGAAATATATAAAAAGAGAAGGGAGAAAGAGAGCAAATACAATTAAATTCCACACATCAAGATAAAGTAATAATTAGCACATTTTGAAGGCTTTTTAATGAACTAGAGATTTGGGCTCAAATTCCAGAAAACCGGATAAACAAGACATGCACACACAAAGCTATTACATGATTGGCAGTATGAATAAACTGGAAGCAAACCAGATACTCAGAGGAAACACAATTGTCCCTGGTAATTGGAGCTTAACAATCCTTCTGTTGGGTTTTACAAGATTTTACGGAGTTATGTTGTCAAATGAAAGAGACAGGGGTCTTTAAGCAATAGATGGATTTCAATTAAGCCTTTCTTTAGTGTTGAATATTTGAATAGGTAGAAAGGAAGCTGGACAGACACATTGCAGACAGAGACAACAACTAGAATGGAGCTGAGATGTGATGAATTAGCTCTGTGTGTTTCAGGTCATTTAAAATGGCAAGAGTTGGATGTGTATGGGGAGCCTACTGATAAAGTATGGTTCACATGTCAATGAAGCTCTTGGGGAGACAGATAAAGTTTCAGATAGAAAAGGGTGATGGACAGAGAGGAATGCAAAGTCTATTGTGGAAAAGAAAAAGACAAATGTATCAGTATTTTTAAAAGTCTGATCACACAATGAAAAATACAAACAAAATCCACTTTGTATACATATTTTAAAAATGTGACAGCATAATAACAGCTATTCCCTCCCTTTTAGTTGGTGCCAGAGTTTTATAGATTTTTTAATATCTGTACAATTTTTCTACTGAGTCCTTTCCATGTTAAAGGCAAGGGCATAGAGCAGTTAAAATATTCCAGACTTACATTAGGTAAAATCTTAAGATCAGGATTTCCTATGCTTATATTTATTTTAGTCTCAACCCTATGACTGTTATGAACTCTGGATTTTATACATTGGAGTTTTAAAATTGTCTCGTTAGACACTAGTCCCTCTTAGCATCTCAGTTTCCTTTCTTAGAAAATAAATGTGGTAACATATCGTAATGCTGAGGAGTAAACTATTTATTATTTATGACACATTGAAAATGGTTCACAGCACCTAATATGAAGCTCTCATTTTGCCTTGCTGTTGCTTCTCACCTCATACCAAATGTAAATGAAAATACAGGGAAGTAGAGCAATTACAGCCACTCACCTGGAGCAGATGTGTATACTCTCATCATTCTCAAAAGGCAACATGAATTCCATAAATCTAGAAAACAATACATTAAGATTCAAGTGCTGAATACCATAATATTTCTAGAAAGCTCTTCTAAATTATATGTTAATTCTCAGATGAATATTTTCATATATGGCTCAGAATCACTCTGTTGTTCCAGGGAGATGTTGTAGTGTATTTAGGCTTTAGTGTATTTTAGTGCAAAAGTGAAACCACAGATACAGAAAGGCATTCAGCCATACTGGAATTTTCTCCAGTCGCCATGGGTCAGGACCACCATGCTCAGTCACCATCAGGGGAAGCAAGTTCTCACAGCACAGCAGCAACTGTGAAATTGATTGAATAATAATGACTCTTTGGACTGACCACTTTCTTCTTTAAAAATAAACTTTAAAACATGGGTTAGCAGTTTAGGATATCATCATACAAATAGGTAAATCATTCACAAATATAAGATAGTGCAAGTTGCCCTGCATATATCCAATTCTGAATCTGCCTCAACCAGTTTGTGAATGAAAAATATTCAATCTAAAAAATGTCTCTGCACTGAACATGTAACTGACATGGTAGGACAGCTTCTTCTCTAGCACTTTCATCACGGTAGATATTAAAAACAACCAAGATAGGATTTAAAGTACACATTAAAAACATACAAGATTAGGTGTAGATGAACACCAGTTACCTAAGAGACTGGAGTGTCTCGGGAATTCCCCCTTTAAAAAAATCTTTATTTTCAAATTGTAGAATTCACAGGGATTTTTGTAAAATTCATTATTCATTGAACATTTGAGTCAAGCAATATATTAACTATAGTGAATATTTATGCAAAATATAATAAATATGTTTAATAAATTAATATGACACTATATTAAAATTATTAGCAAGAAATTTCTAGGTTGTTTATCTCAAATTATTTTGAAAGAGATGCCCAAGCATAAACTAACTTAAGGACAGAGAATGATTCAGTTATGGAAAGTAGAACACCAGGACTGTGATTTATTATTTAAAGGGCTAAAAACTCAATTTTGAAATATCAGAAAGTAATACCTCATTTTAACACGTTTGTTTGGTATAATTCTGTTTTCACAAGATGTTGCAAGACAATGTAAAATAACTATGTCTCATGGTTACGCCTCTTTCTATAGTAAACTCGCACACACTGTAGCACGTCTTCCTATGGCAAACTTGCACACATTGCAGCATGCTTATAAAACCAAGAATGTGACATCAATAATGCTAACAGAGGGTAGTCAGGTCTCAATAGTATGAGTCTCACTTGTGTGTGTTGCTCTATTCACTCTCATTGCAGATAGACTTGAATAATCACCTCCTTCTGTGATGAATAGGGAAAGAATGAGGGAATAGGAACGGCTGTGAAGGGCTAAAAGAAAGTGCCTGTGGGATGATATGGTTCAACGGGTTGTTATCTAACATCAAATGTAGAATATGTTTCCATTTAAGGCCCCTTTTACATATGCAGAGGGAAGGTAATACTGTTGTTCCTGAGGTGAAATTCACAATGAATAATCAGAAAGCAAGCAAAAAAAAAAAAAATGGTGATTGTTAGAAAAATAATGTGTCAAAAAACACAGCACACCATTCTCTTTTCAGATGGTATTGCCATTTAAATTAAAGTGTCTGAGGAGAAGATGTATTTGACAACAAATAGGACTCAAATGACCTCTTGTATGTGTTAACCTTATTAATTGCTTTAACATTCAAGTGCCTGCATTTACTGGCATAGAAAGTTCCGGTTATTTATTGCCATTTATTGTGGCAGACCTTTGCTCTTTGTGCTTTTCAGTTCTGTTATTCTTAGGAGCCAGGGACTCTGACAGCTGCTGCCAGTTCCATGAAGTTTGTTTAAAACAATGGGGGAAATTGCCTAGCAACCTCACATCCAGTTTCTGGTACCCTCTTGGAGAGCACATTCCACACACCCTGCTCATCTCCATAAACTCACAGGGGAAATCACACACACACATGCACACCAACACAGTATAACCAAAATTCCCAACTGGGTTTCTTAACATCTTGCCTCAGTAGTCACAATCTATAAGACTATTTGACATATGCGGCATGGGTGATTATTAAAGCTGAACTAATCACATGGTAATTTATGCAAATCAATTACTTTCTCCTCTTTAATTTCCTGTTTAAGGCTTACTTTTGTCAAGACATTAATATGCAGCCTAAAATAGGGTTTGTTTGTCTATTTATTTATTTATTTATTTATTTATTTATTTATTTATTTATTTGACTAAATTAGAAGTCAGAAGTCCTCTGTGCCTAATATGTGATGCCTCATGGCCATTGTCTATTTCCTTTTTGGAAAATGCAGGTTTATCTTGAACCAGCTTTAGAACACAGCGGAGAGAAATGAAATGAACATTCTTTCAATGTTGATAAGAGCCAGCCAGAGAGTTGGACTACTTTTATTATATATTTTTCTCTTTATCTGATGTTGATTAAAAAATGTTTGGGATATTTTTAGACTTTGTGAGAATGCCATTCCAATGGGTTCCAGGGCTTGACTATAACACTGGAACTCCATATGTTCATTTGTTTCCTTATTATAGGATATCTTAATGTTTTGTCCTCATATCCTTATTTGCAAAATAGAAACAGTGAAAGAATACTAAGGTTTCTTTCTAGCTAGCATTCTATAAATGTCCAAACTCTTTGTGAAATTGCTCTGCATTAATAATTGAGAAGGAAGCCGGGCAGTGTCGGCACATGCCTTTAATGCTAGCACTCGGGATGCAGAGTCAGGTGGATCTCTGTGAGTCTGAGGCCGGCCTGGTCTAGAGAGTGAGATCCAGGACAGGCACCAAAACTACACAGAGAAACTCTGTTTCAAAAACAAACAAACAAACAAAAAACAAACAAACAAACAACAAAAAAAAGAATTGAGAAGGAAGAAAAACTATGAATGTAAAGTTATTTCCCAGCTCTGACGATCATGTTTAATTAGTGCTGCAGTGTGTAAAGTTAGAAGGATAGAGTAGTCAAATGATCACAAACAGCTAGAGAAACCAGGAAAATCCCTGACGTGTGATACAGAGCATAGCTATTGCAGTCTTAATTAAAACAATGACTTTGAATTACTAGAAGTGAAGGAGAAGTGATTGAAGTTAAAGTTCCAGGAGTGGTCAAGACACATAGTTTGTGAACCAAATGCCACCTGGTGGCTCATCCCATAAAGAGTTGATGGAGTATAGAGAATCTATTCATTTTCATGTGACTATCTGTGACCACTATCTACTTCTATGACAGACAGTGAAATGGTTGGAACTATGGCCATAAACCTTACATGGCTGAAATATTTACTACTGGGCTCTTTCTTTAAAAGAAATGCATTGATGTCATTGTAAATTATGAGAAATACCTCTGTTTTACTTAGACTTTGTATCTATTACCACAACCAGAGTGTGTACTTCATAAGACAGAGAAAATTACATCCAGGGCTTTGGACGTTCAACACAGCAAACAGTCAAAGTGAATTTGGTAAAGATTGAAAATCATTTAAAAATGGGTTAACTGGTTACAGAAGATGTGATGCTAACCACAGAACTCAGCGACATGAGAAGTGGAGAGAGGAAGGTCCTGACTAACAGGACGAACTCAGCAGTGAGCAACACAAGGCTCTCGAACAAGGAAAAAGGTGGAAACTTACACTCAAGATTGTCCTTTGACCTCCTCCATGGCACTCAAGGTTGTGTGCACTCATACACACTAACATGTACCTGCACAGACACACACACAAGACTGTAAAAATGAATTAAACATTAACTTTATAGTTTCTTATAAAATTATAACTAAATATTCAAAAGCTACTTCTGGAAACACCAATTCAGTACATATAAAATTACTAAATTATTAAATTAGTATCTATTCAGTGGATACTGTGTGAAAATTAAGAGGTTCTCAAAAAAAAAAAAAAACCGGAACAAAGACACTATTGCCAAAGAAATGTAGAATCAAGAGGCTTGGATTTCCTTAATAATGTACTGAAAGTTACTGCATTATGAATATGTACATTAGTCTGGCATAAAGCTGATCACTTTGTTGTGAATACATTAAGTACAATTAGATCACAGTTTAATTTCTCAATCATCTGTTGCTCATTCTAAAGTGGCTACTAGCAGAACTTTTCCAATGGAAATTCAGAAAATGTTTATTTAAGGGGAAAAAAAGCATGTTTATCTTTTCTGTTTCTTCTTGTTAATTCTCTCCATTTATCCTGAAAATCAGAATAGGTAGATAGTGTCTTATCTCCACAGCAGTTTCTTAGAAATTAATTAAGATTATACTTCTTGTTAGCACCGAATTCCTTGGTGCTCTAAGAAGGTTATCATTGAAGTCATCACAATGTCATTACTGTAGAATCTGAAGACATTTGAAGAACATAGGATGGTGGTATCTGCTCTTTAGAACCACCTAGGACACCCAACAACTTTACAAATTATTTTGTTATCCCAAGATGTGACTGTACAAGATATCATCAAGAAAACAGCAAGAAAATGGAATGGGAAGAGAAGTGACAGAGGAGGGTAAGAAGTAAAGGAGGCAGAAAAGAAGAGAGGGTGGAGAAGCATTACCCACAAAAGTAGCTTATGTAAAGCTTAGGAATTTACTTTATACAATATGTCTACTGTGGTCTTCATGGAAATACTTATTTGGTAAGAGTGGTAAGGGAGTGGGAAGATTCAACAGGAAGAACACTACAGAAGGGAAAGCAGTGCAGAGTCCACATAATAGCATGGTTCACTGTGACATCGTGCTTCTACTACAAGGGTTCTTCCAGCATCTCCAGCCTGCTCTCTCTTGTCCTAGTTTCTGGTTCTATGTTCCTTTTATCTACTTCTAAAAGGTGCTTTTCTTTTCTTTTTTTTAACTTTTTCTTTTATTCTTTCTGTCTTTCATATCATGTGTCTCGATCCCATTTATTTCTCCATACCTTCCTATTTCCCCTCTACCCTTCTACCCATGCAACCCCCCTCCCCAAAAATAAATTTTAGGAGAAAGAAGAAAAAAATAAAAGGAAAAATTTTGTCATGGAAGCTGGAATGTGACACTGCGAGTCACGCAGTAAACACTTTCGTCCATCTATCTCTACTTGTAAGTGTTCATTGCAAAGAGTCATTGGTCTGGCTCAAGGACTCTGGTTTTTGCTACACTATGGATGCGGGGCCCTCACTAGGACTGCTTTGGGATATTCTATTGTTGCCCTTTGCTCCCACAGATCATAGATGGAGTGGATGTTGGGGAGGGCCAACTTCTGATAACCCTGATTCTGGGCCTGGGTAGTTGCAGGGTTGGTCAGCCTGCCAGCCCTCCCCCGTCATCACCACCAGGGGGAGCTCTCCAGCATTGCCCCAGCTAGTTCATCCCTTGCATGCGTGAGCAAGGGACAGTTCTCCTGTTTTCACGCCCTCAGAGTCAGCTCACCCACACCTAGACCACCAGGGCCAGCTCTACTGTGCTGCCCAGGAAAGGTGCAAGGGTCACTCTCCAAGTGCTGCAGCTGGTGAGGGGCAGAGACAGCTCTCCTGCTCTTATGACCTCAGTGCCAGCTCTCCCACCTGCCACATGTGCCAAGGGGCATGAGGGGGGGGTCATCTCTCCCCCCACTCACACTACCATATGGCAGAAGAAGGGCAGGGCCAGATCTCTCACACTCATCTTCTGCCAGTTCACCTGTACCCTTCTCAATAGGGTCAGCTCTGCTGTGCTGCCCAGAGGAGGTTCATGGCCTGCTTTCCCCAGCGTTGCAGCTGGTGAAGGGGAGCGTTTGGCTCCCTTGCCAGCTGGAGGCAGTAGGGCCAAGGGAGAAGGGCATTTTGCCTCTCTCACTCTACCACATTGCAGATGAGGGAGGAAGTACTAGCTATGCCCTTCTCATGCCTAAGGGCTGGCTCACCCATACCCTTCTCTATAGGGTCAACTCGACTATGCTGCCCAGGTGAGGTACAGGGCCACTTCTCCCAAATGCTGCAGCTGCTGAGGTGTTGGGTCAGGTCACCCACCTGTTACAGGTGGTGAGGGGCAAGGGAGGGAAAGCATTTTTCCCTCACCCATGCCACCACATAGCACACAAGAGAGGCACTACCCATTCTCCCATTTTTGCCCTCTCAGGGCCAGCTCACCCATGTCCCTACAAACAAGGTCAGCTCTGTGGTGCTGCTTAGGTGAGGCATAGGATACTCTCTCCCAAGTGCTTCAGCCAGTGAGGGGCAGAATCAGCTCTCCCTAGTGTTACAGCCGGTGAGGGATGGGGACAACTCTGTACAGCCGTATCTCTTGAATATTGTTAAGAACCATCCTTAATAATATTCTTCTCAGGGGCCCAGAAGAGAAACTATGAATGGTGAGAATTGTTTTTCGGAAAAGAATTTAAGTACACCAAACTCTTTGTCCATCTACTTTATTCCTCTGGGATAACATCCTATCTACACAGCTTCAGTTCTGTTCTGGTGCCTAGCTCCAGATGTTTCTGTTTCTTGCCTGTTTTCTCTCTATATTTATCTACTGCCCCATCTAAGTTCTATCTTGATTCTCTTATCTTAATTCTGCCCCATCTTGGTCTTTCTCATCTTGTTCCTATCCATCTGACCCTTCCTCATCTTCCATCTCATCCTTAAGTTCTCTCTTCTAACCCTTCAATCTAGTTCTACTCCATCTCAGTCTGTCCCTCTCCAGTTCTTACCCATTTAGTTCTTCCATTCTCTTTTCTCTTCTCTGTCTCCTCCTTCTCTGAACATAAAACTGCCTTTTTATTACCCCTTGGACCCTTATCTCTCCAAGCTATCTCTGCTTCCTACATTTTTTTTTTTTTTTTTTTTTTTTTTTTTTTTTTTTTTTTTTTTGGTTTTTTCGAGACAGGGTTTCTCTGTGTAGCTTTGCGCCTTTCCTGGAGCTCACTTGGTAGCCCAGGCTGGCCTCGAACTCACAAAGATCCGCCTGCCTCTGCCTCCCAAGTGCTGGGATTAAAGGCGTGCGCCACCACGCCCGGCATTTTTGACAAGTATTCTCAGTCACTAGGCAACTTGGCTAAGAAACTTCTGTCACAGCTAGATGTACCTGTAAGTTGGAACCCTTTAGTTTTGAGTCAATAGTTAAAGGTAGATCTAAAACTAGAGATAAGACTTTGAAAAGGGAGAAAGTTAAGATTGATTAGCACATACTCCAGGCCTTCTCAAGCAGATAGGCTGGATGCGTAAGTCTGTTCTTAGAGAGTACAGGAGTATCTCTGATAAGATACTTTTGTCCATCTGGGGATGGACCTGGCTGGATGCTGTCAATTGCAATAATTACAGATTACAGGGAGGCTTGAAATGGAGTTCTAGCTGTGTATAGTTGTCAGCACAGAAGGTTATCTAAATATCCCATTAGTAGAGGGGAAATGGTGCCCAATGAATGATGGAAAAGCTACAATGGCACACGAGAAATTCATAGTAGGAAAGCCAATATCACCAAGATTCTTTGAGCCTCAGCTTGACCTCTGGAAGGCCCTTGACTTCTTCCAGGTATAGCTCCTCATAATCAGCTGAAAAATCTACTTCATATATTTTTGCGGCTTGCAGCACCTATCCTCTTGGCCTTTGGTGGTATCAGGAGCCATGGACATAAACAGAGACTTTGGCTGCATCAGAGCCATGAACCCAGACATGGTCCCTAGCAGCAGCCCAGACACAGACATCATCATGGCCCTGGGTGGCAACTAAGCCACCCACCTCTATCTGTTCCTCACTTCTTTTGCCTCTTCAAATATGCCTCTATTTACAGGACATGAACCATTCTGTCTGTTTCTCCCGTACCACACCACATATTTGCTTACCATACTAGCACCCATCTGCTTGGTATGGAAAACATGGAGCCTGACATTTTCTCCTCCTCCAAACCCAGGGTGGACTGCCCTAGGCCTGCATGTGGATCTCCTTGTTCTACTTAGTCTGCCCTGGATCTGTGCACGACATGCTTCTTCAGCACAAAAAGATCATAATAGTGCATAGCCATCCAGTACCAGAAGCACAGCTCCTGGTTGGCGTGGAGGGATTGCTGGAGTCCCTTCTCAGGCCAAGGCTAGAAAGCCTGAGCTGCATTTGGTTGAGTCCCACCAACCCCAGGTGCATGGTGAGGAGTGGAGGTGTTACTTGAGTCCTCTCTCTCTGACCGACCGACACTCTGGTCTTGTTTTCCTAACTGAGTGTATCCTCAGATCTGATTTCTATTTGCTGCCCAACTTCCATTACCATGGCCTTTGTAATGAGGAATATGTGCTACTCCCATTTTCCTACTAGATACTGTTTGCATCTCAGCTAATGACCAAGTTGCCTGGAGATAGGTGAGTTCATGTCCTTTTGATCGTGAATCTGTTCTATCTCTGATTTTGGATCCAGTGTCCTGACTCTGGCATCTTGCCTTCATGTGTTTTTCTTTTGCTTCTGGCAAGCAGTTTCGTTGACTCATGCTCTTGCCAGCAACTTTCTTGAAACTGTTTCGGTTACCTGATTGATGGCAGGGTCAGTCTCTTCAAAATCTGACCTACCAAGTTGGTGAGTTTGCTCCCAAACCTACATTGTCCAGTCATAGATAACTGGAAAACAAAGAATAGTAGAGTGCTTGAGATGGAACGGATAGTGTAAATAACATGGTAAAATGATTCTTGTTTTGCCTTTATTTTACATTGATTCCGTTTTTCTACCTCTGCCTTCTTCCTTATTCCCAGGGACCTGCTTATCTAGTGCCAAAGATTATCAGCTTTTAGCTGGCACTCATCCAC